AACAGCATGAGAAAGACACTGGATTTCAAGAAGGCAGACTTTAGCAAACTCAGGGAGTTGGTAGGTAAGATCCCATGGGAAGCAAATCTAAGGGCAAAAACATTTCAGGAGAGTTGTCAGTTTTTCAAAGAGGCATTATTAAGGGCACAAGAGCAAACTATCCCACTGCGTAGGAAAGATAGGAAGTCTGGCAAGAGAGCACCCTGGCTTAACCAGGAGATCGTCAATGATCCGAAACTCAAAACAGAGCCCTACAAAAAGTGGAAACTAGGTCAAATGACAAAGGATGAATATAAACAAATAACACAAGTATGTGGGGACAAAATTAGAAAGGTCAACGCACAAAATGAGATTAAACTAGCTAGAGACATAAAGGGTAACAAGAAAACTTTCTACAAATACATTAGAAGCAAGAGGAAGACCAAGGACAGGATAGACCCATTACTCAATGAGGGTGGGGGAGGGGAACTATAACAGAAAATATAGAAATGGCAACGTGCTAAATGATTTTTTTGTTTCAGTTTTCACCAAAAAGTTTAGTAGCCATTGGACATCTGATGTCGTGAATGCTGGTGAAAATGAGGTACAATCAGAGGCTAAAATAGGGAAAGAATACATTAAAAATTACTTAGAGAAGTTAGATGTCTTCAAGACACCAGGGCCTGATGAAATGCATCCTAGAATACTCAAGGAGCTGACTGAGGCGATATCTGAGCCATTAACATTTATCTTTGAAAAGTCATGGAAGACGGGAGAGATTCTAGAAGACTAGAAAAGGGCAACTATAGTGCCAATCTATAAAAAGGGAAATAAGAACAACCCGGGGAATTACAGACCAGTCAGCTTAACTTCCGTATCAGAAAGATAATGGAGCAAATAATTAAGCAATCAATTTGCAATCATCTAGAAGATAATAAGGTGATAAGTAACAGACAGCATGGATTTATTAAGAACAAAAAAGGTAATAAGCCTTGTGGATAAGTGGAAAGCAGTAGATGTGGTATATCTTGACTTCAGTGTTTGCCAAACGCTGGGAATGGGCGACAGGGGATGGATCACTTGATAAGGACCTGTTCTGTTCATTCCCTCTGAGGCACCTGCCATTGGCCACTGTCGGAAGACAGGATACTGAGCTAGATGGACCTTTGGTCTGACCCAGTCTGGCTGTTTTTATGCTTTGATATTGTCTCTCAATACCTTTTCATAAACTAGGGAAATACAACCTAGATAAGGTGAGTGCATAACTGGTTGGCAAAAACAGTTATCAATGGTTCACGGTCAAGCTGGAAGGGCATAGCAAGAGGGGTCCCTCAGGGATCAGTTCTGTGTCCGTTTCTGTTCAATATCTTCATCAAGATATGCGTTGTGCAGGAGGTCAGACTAGATGATCATAATGGTCCCTTCTGACCTAAATATCTATGAATCTATGAATCAAAGATGTAAATAATGGCATAGAGAGTACACTGCTAAAGTCTGCGGACAATACCAAGCTGGGAGGGTTGCAGGACAGGATTAAAATTCAAAATGATCTGGACAAACTGGAGAAATGGTCTGAAGTAAACAGAATGAAATTCAATAAAGACAAATGCAAAGTGCTCCCCTTAGAAGCATAGGTGCTGCAACTACAAGTGCTGGGGGGGCTGCTGCACCCCCTGGCGTGAAGTGGTTTCCACCATATCCAGGGTTCGCAGTTTGGTTCAATGGCTCTCGCCTCCCGCTCCCCTCCCCCACTGTACACATTGTTCCAGCCCCCCTGCTTCCAACGGAACGATCAGTTGCACACCTACAAAATGGGAAATGACTGCCTAGGAAGGACTACTGAGGAAAGGGATCTGTGGGTTATAGTTAGGGCCCCACCAAATTCATGGCCATGAAAACGCATCATGGACTGTGAAATCTGGTCTTTGGTTTTTATATACTTTTACCCTATACTATACAGACCAGGGTTTCTCAGGCTGAAGGTTCCAATCCAAAAGAGGGTCATCGCGAGGAGGGGCGGAGGTTCCCAGGTTACTGTTGGGGGTATCGCAGTATCGCCACTCTTCCTTCTGCGCTGACTTCAGAGCTGGGTGGCTGGAGAGCGGCGGCTGCTGACCAGGTGCCCAGCTCTGTAGGCAGTGCAGCGCAGAAGTAAGGGTGGCAATTCCATACCACACCACCCTTACTTCTGCCCTGCTGCCTTCGGAGTTGGGTCAGGACTCCTACAGTTAAAACACCTAAAATTTAAATGTCTGAAATCATGAAATTTACAATTTTTAAAAATTGAAATTGACCAAAATGGACTGTGAATTTGATAGCGCCCTAGTTATAGTGGATCACAAGCTAAATATGAGTCAGAAGTGTAACAGTGTTGCAAAAAAAGCAAACATCATTCTGGGCAGTATTAGCAGGAGTGTTGTAAGCAAGACACGAGAAGTAATTCTTCCTCTCTACTCCGCGCTGATTAGGCCTCAGCTGGAGTATTGTGTCCAGTTCTGGGTGCCACATTTCAGGAAAGATGTGGACAAATTGGAAAAAGGCCAGAAAAGAGCAACAAAAATGATTAAAGGTCTAGAAAACATGACCTCTGAGGGAAAATTGAAAAAACTGGGTTGGTTTAGTCTGGAGAAGAGAAGACTGAGAGGGGACATAACAGTTTTCATGGACATAAAAGGTTGTTACAAGGAAGAAGGTGAAAAATTGTTCCCGTTAACCTCTAAGGATAGGACAAGAAGCAATGGGCTTAATTTGGGGCAAGGATGGTTTAGGTTGGACATTAGGAAAAACTTCCTAACTGTCAGGGTGGTTACGCAGTGGAATAAAAGTGAGGTTGTTGAATCTCCGTCATTAGAGATTTTAAAGAGCAGGTTAGACAACTCCTATCAGGAATGGTCTAAATACCACTTAGTCCTGAAGGGGACTGGACTAGATGACCTATCACGGTCCCCTCCAGTCAGTCTATGATTCTATAATGCATGTATCCTCATAAGACCCCTGGGAGGCAAGAGGTTATCCCCATTGGGCAGATGGAAATTAAAGCCCAGAGAGAATAAGTGCCTTGCCCAAGGTCACACTGGAAGTCTGTGCCAGAGCAGGGATTTGAACCCAGGTCAAACTCCCATACTACTGCCCTAACCACTGGGCATTCCTGCTTTTCTTTGCACACAAGGCAGCGTTTGGATACATTTTTAGGGACAGTACACCAAACATCAGTCACATGCACCACAATCATACAGACACCCCCAGGTAAAAGGGGAAACAGCCCTGAAAAATAAACTTTCCTGGAGACATTCTCCCAGTCAGATCTGTTATCTTGGCATCTCTTCTAGGGTTTTATTAGCTGGGCCTTTTGCACAGAAACAGAACCTTTGCCATTCAAGATGTTACTTGCTCACCCTATTTATTTCCCTGGATGAGGTCATGACCCTCCCTTGTGACATCACAGTTGGCTCCTGTGATGTCACGAGCAGAGGACTGTGACTTCTGGTGTGTGTGTCGAGGGGGAATGCATCGCTGAGATACAGCGCTGTTGCCCATGGAAAGCCTTGGAAGAGGACTGCCCATGGTATGCCCAGCTGCCCCTGCCACAAAGGCATCATCCTGGCCCGGTTCCTTTGTCCCCGATAGCCTCCTTGCCCACCCTCTTTGCAGCCCCACACTGGATTCGGGGCCAGCTAACTGTAGCATTGAAGGCTCAGCAGCTCGCTCACTCCTCAGGCGGAAACCGTGGGGCTCTCTCAAAGGCAGAGGTAATTGCATAGCTTCATGCAGGGAACAAGGCCCTCCCCCCAAGCTTCTATAGGCTTTATAGTGCATCCGGCCCACAAACCACAGCTGCTGCATGGAAGCTCATCTCCATTCAGGGGAGCATGGGTGGGTTCTCCAAATTCCTGCAGGTCCCTGGGGAACCTACCTCCCACCTCCCCCCAGATCCAACTCCAGCCACAGCAACCATCCCTCAGCTCCAAGTGGATTGAAAAGAGCCTGCTGAGCAGTCTGGCTGGAGCATGGGGACAGGACAGCAATAGGTCAACTGCACCTCCTGTTCTGTGATCCCATCGGATGGCCCCGGGAAAGGAGGGCTGGGCCCGGCTGCTAGCACAGTCTGTGAGGCGCTCATTGGGGAAGGCACCGGAACGAAATGAACAGGAGTCACGAAAGGTTATGGCAAACAGGGCTCCTGGGGTTCCTTCCCAGCCCTGCCGCTGAGTGCTCTGAGCTTGGGCAAATCACTTCACCCACTTGACAGGGAAGATTGCGAGGCTAACATCACTGTCGAAGTGCTTCGAGATTCTAGTGCAACAACCACACAGCTGGGTCCTTAGTGGGGGCTGAAGCCTGGCCCTGTAGCACCAAAACTCAAAAACACTTGAGCTCCAGCCTCTCTAGCCCATCGAGTCTGGCAAGAGCAGGCTGGTATCCTCTTACGGGCTCCGGCTATTAGAAGGGGACAAAGATACAGGTGCCGACGCTGTCGGTGCTCCGGGGCTGCAGCACCCAGGGGGAAAAGATTGCGGTGCTGAGCACCCACCAGCAGCCCCCATCAGCTCCCCCGTCCCTTCCCTGGCGCCTCCTGTCAGCTGGGGGGCTCCGCCGATCAGTGCCTCCTCCTCCCTCCCCATGCCTCCCACCCACCGCGATCTGCTGTTTCACAGCGTGCAGGAGGCTCTGGGGGGAGAGGAGGAGCGAGGATGCAGCATGCTGGGGGGAGCGGGAGGGGGAGGACTGGGGCGGGAAAAGGCAGGGCAGGGGTGGGGACTTGGGGGAAGGGGTGGAGTGGGGGTGGGGCCTGGGGCAGAGCCAGGGGTTGAGCACCACCTGGCACATTGGAAAGCCAGCGCCTGTGGACGACGACACATGTGGCCAGTATGTTGTGAGGGTGAAGGGTGCTAGAAGGCAAAGAGTCCATTCCCTAGGACTTCTTCACGCCGTGACGGTTTGTGGCTGAGCCCTTGTTTGCCTACAGAAGAATTCTCCCTGCCGACCCCTTTCCCCTTCACCCCTCTGTGCCACTTTCTGACCTCATGCTCCGCCTCTGGAAACTGCTCCTCTACCCGCTTGTGCAGATGCTTGAAGGCCACCCTCGCGATAGGGGGGCACTTCTCCACCGAGCCAATGATGGACTCCATGATGTCACTCAGGTAGCCCTTCAGGAGCTCCTGGCTGCTCTCCCGCACCTGGGCCTTGGACAGGGAGCCCTTGAAGGAAATCCTCCTGGAGAGAAACCCAGAGAAACGCACATTAGTGACAAATCCACGTGAGCCTTTGCACGAGCTCTCTCGCACTGTTGCTTTTGTTGGCATATAATCAAAGCTACCCCTTGGGACATGGCCGTTCCGTGTCTTGGCCCGGTGGAAAACTCGTGCGGCAAATGGCAGGCTGAAAGGCTGCAATGTCAGATTTAGGTCCATTGCTTTTAAATGGAGGATTTTGCAGACTGGAATATTGAGGTGGCTACTGAAGTCAGCGCAGGGGCTCCTGGGCTATTCCACATCAAATGTCTCTCCTTGCTTTTTTTCGCCTTGCAGATTTTTGGATTAACGATGCATAACTCTCAGGTAGGGGAAAGTGGGGGAGGGGATAGTTGAGCATGGGGGAGGCAATTTGCAATTGTGGGATAAGCACATCAGCTGGATGCTTCAGCTAAAAAGATGATCAGCTCTGAAATAGTTAACAAGCTGGCATTTGGGTCACCCTGATTAGGTTTCAGTGTTAATGCCTGAAGGGAGCACCTGAGCTGCTATCTGAGAAAGTGGGTCTCAGGCTCCAGACTGAGGAGGGCAGCACTGCACCAGGTAGTCTTGGTTGGAAGATTTTCCTTGCAACAGTGTTTCCAGTGGTGCTGAGCACTCACAGCATGCATGCACACACTCGGCACCTCTGAAATTCAGGCTTTTCTTTAAAAAAAAAAACACTGTAGTCTTCTGGAGCCCACTGCTCTGGAAAGGGGGAATTCTGTGGACACAAAACACACCCAGCCTGGGTCTAAGAATTGGGCTCCCTGGCAGCCAGGTTCAAGCATGCAGCAGCTCCAAGGCCAGGAAACCCCTTTGTCTTGCTAGTGCCTAACATTTACAGCACAATGAGCTCCCAAAGCCAGTCCCAGCCCTGCAGCGTACACTCTGCAGTCCTGGTCAGAGTGACCCTTTGCTTAGAGCGAAGCTGGGCACTGTAAATCCTGGCTTCAGACTCAAAGGGCTTGCCTGGGCCTGCCTCATCTTCACGGTCCATTTTGAGAGTTCAAAGCAGGGATCCCCAGCAATTCCTGTCCCCAGAGGACTTTGCAGCTGGCCCCTCCTACCTGGCTAGCACATGGATCATCAGAAGCTATTTTGACCCTGAGAGGGAGCAAGACACCGGGCTAGGAGTCAGCCAGCAACTGACTCCAGATCTCCTGTGTGACTTTGGACAAATCAGTCCATCTTCTTGGCTAAGCTGGGGCAATCCTCTGTCTTGTCTGGGGGGGCAGGGACTGTTGCCTCTCACTGTGTGTCTGGACATCTAAACCAATGGGGCCCCAAGCTCAGCTGGGACCACCAGCACGGCATTCAGCTTTGGGCTTCCTTGTCCCGGCCCACACCCAGATCAGCAAACTCCATCATGTCACTCATAGGCGCCGACTCCATCAGGGAAAATATGGTGGGTGCTCTTCACCCCCCGGCAGCCAAGCTCCCTGCCCCCCCACCTCACCTCGCCTCCACTTAATCCCCTGAGCACGCCATGTCTCTGCTTCTCCTCCCAGCACTCGCTGCTGCAAAACAGCTGTTTCGCGGTGTAACAAGCTCTGGGAGGGAGGGGGGGAGGAGCGGGAACGTGGCACGCTCAGGGGAGGAGGCGGGAAAGAGGCAGGGCCAGGGTGAGGATTTGGGGAAGGGGTTGGAATAGGGGCAGGGAGGGGGGGAGTTGGAGCGGGGACTTTGGGGAAGGGGTTGGAATGGGGGCGGAGGCAGGGTGGGGTGGAGTCGGGGTGGGGAGGGTCAACCACCCACCGGTGCCAGCAGAAGTTGGCGCCTATGGTGTCACTGGCACAAGACTGTCATTGGTATGTGCCTTGCACATGTGGCTTTAAGTCCGTTCATACTGATGTCACTAAGAACGTAGTCTGGATACCCTAAGGGCCTTGTTCCTGAGCCCCCCAAGCCCACATCCCCACACAAACACCCTGCTGAGCGTGGCCAGCACAGCACAGAGATGGAGAATCACCATGGAGGAGCAACTCCCTCAAGACATAGTCCTTGTGCACCATTCGTCAAGGGCTAGTAGCCTCCTCTCTGCTCCAGCATCCCTGAGATGGTGTTGCTTAGCAACCAGCATGAGCTGTTTCTCTCCTGGGAATGGCCCTGTCTGGATTCCAGGGGAAATACTGGGAGGACTGGGCTGGCTTGTGGGGTTCCAGGAGAGCTGGGGTCGCACAGGGAAAGCCAAGCACGATGACTCCGGGTTTGGAGCCAGGAAGGCCAGCAGGGGTGGGGAAGCTGTAGGATCCCACTGGCTCAGGGGCAGTGAGACTGTTGGACCCAGGGGCTCCGTTCCCCTGCTAAGGTGGGCTCACCACACTGGGCAGATTGTGGGAGTCAGAATCTACAGACCCGCCGGTGCCCCTCGCTGGTGAAGAATTGCTCATGCACAGATGCAGTTTGTTATTCAAAATGCTCAGCCGCTCCCTCCACCGACTCTGGGCTCCTGGAAGCCACCCAGCATGCCGCAGGGTGAGAGGCTTAGACACTCCCCTGGGCAGGGGATGACTTTACTTATAGCTGATCAGTGCTTAGCACACCCTAAGTACCCACAATAACCCCCCTCCTGTGCCAGCCCCGGCCCCCTATGGCCATGGGGCTGGGTGAGTCCTCCCGTCATGACAGACATGTCTGGGAATAGGGCTAGGGGGCTGTTTTTATCAGGAGAATCATCCCCGATGACCCTGCAGTCAGTAGCCAGGAGCTCAGCCGGTGAGATCCTTGCCTCCCACTTAGGGCATGTGTTTGGCTGCTGCCCTGTGCTCTGCCCCAGGAAGGGGGCAAGCCTTCGCCTCTCCCCAGAAGCAGTTTTCCCTGGGCCAGGCGAGAAAAGCTAATTCGGTGATGCACTCAGCTCGCCAGAGACCCAGCTCCTTCCATGCCCCAGCAGCTTGCACCACCAGCTAGTCCCTGGCAGGCTCCTCGCATGGGCGCTGAGTCAATTCAGTGCTAGCCTGATGGCGCTGGAAAGCAGCAACTGCAGTTTACCCATGACCAGGTGCAGCAGAGGCAGGTGCAGGGCAAACTCCCACACACACTGCCTCACTCCCCCGGCCCAGCACGGGGGACTCCCATGTCCATGGCCCCTCTGAGGAGATGGCTGATCGGGGGCCAATTAGAGCTACCGATAATGGCTGAGGCCTGCCCTCTAGTGGCTGGGCTGAGCCTGCTTGCTCCTTTCGTACAGACCACTACGCTGCAGCTGAGCTGGGAAGGGCTGAGCCAGCAGCCCAGGGATGAAGGGAAGGCTGGGCAGAACCCAGCACCCATCTCCTCTCAGGGCAGAGCAGCACCCTGACAATGCCACACATGCTCCAGCCTGCTCAGAGCAGCCTTCCCCTCCGGAGAAATGCTGAACTCCCATGGCCAGCGCTCAGGGGCGGGAGCTGCTCTGGTCTATCTGGGCCACGTGGTCTTTGAGGAGATGAGCCCCTCCCGAGTTACCTGGGTGGCCCTCTGGGAGAAGGGGAGTTCACGCCACAGGCACTGGAGGGCAAAGGGTTAATTTCTTCTCCTTCCCCCTCCAATCTCAGCATAGCAGCAGAAGACCGGGGAGTGAGGTGACCTCAGAGTTGCAACCCAAGAGTCCATCACAATTCCCTGGATGGGGGGATGCTGCCCTGCCTGTGTGTATGGTCCCCGGAGGCTACTGGGTTATTTTCAGACTCACTTTTCTCTGCTTTAATTAGCACTGTTAAGTGGGAAAAATGAACCGTGAATTACAGCAGCTTCCATGTGTCACTGTTTTCCTGATTTGCCATTTCTAACTGGAATGCGCCCAACCCCCACCCACACCGGAGCCAGCGACACCGCTCGCACCTGTGCTCTCCTCTCAGCTACACCCGGCTCCCACATGCAGGCACCACGAGCATCCAAGGCAACTAGTTCCCCCAGTCCTCTCCCTCCCTGCCGGACCCTTTGGCCTGACTGCTCATATGTCCCAGCACAGCCGCCCGGCGCCATCCCAGCCCCTTCGCTCTGCTCTGAGGTCCATACTTGCCCTAAGACTATGGCAGGAGCCCCTGGCCTAGAGCAACCAGGGTGCCTCCACCAGCCACACAACCAGTGGTTATCCTAACCTGATGCAGTGTGGCCCCCAGTCCCACACGCCAGGCCCCATAGCAGCACCAATCACAGCTCCCCTTGACAGATCATAGAACCATAGGATTGGAAGGGACCTTGAGAGGTCTTCTAGTCCAGTCCCCTACACTCATGGCAGGACTAAGTATCATCTAGACCAGGGGTTCTCAAACTGGGGGTCACGAGCTTATTACAGGGGGCGGTTGCGAGCTGTCAGCCTCCACCCCAAACCCCACTTTGCCTCTAGCATTTATAATGGTGTTAAATATATTTTTAAAATGTGGTTTTAATTTATAAGGTGGGTCGCACTCAGAGGCTTGCTGTGTGAAAGGGGTCACCAGTACAAACGTTTGAGAACCATTGATCTAGACCATTCCTGACAGGAGTTTGTCCAACTTGCTCTAAAAAATCTCCAATGATGGAGATTCCACAGCCTCCCTAGGCAATTTATTCCAGTCCTTAACCACCCTGACAGTTAGGAAGTTTTCCCTAATGTCCAGCCTAAACCTCCCTTACTGCAATTTAAGCCCATTGCTTCTTGTCCTATCCTCAGAGGTTAAGAAGAACAATTCTTCTTCCTCCTCCTTGTATCAACCTTTTATGTACTTGAAAACTGTTATCATGTCCCCTCTCAGTCTTCTCTTCTCCAGACTAAACAAACCCAATTTTTTTAAATCTTCCCTCATAGCTCATGTTTTCTAGACCTTTAATCATTTTTGTTGCTCTTCTCTGGACCTGCTCCAATTTGTCCACATCTTTACTGAAATGTGGCACCCAGAACTGGACATGATACTCCAGTTGAGGCCTAATCAGCGCAGAGTAGAGCAGAAGAATTACTTCTTGTGTCTTGCTTACAATACTCCTGCTAATACATCCCAGAATGATGTTTGCTTTTTTGCAACAGTGTTACACTGGTTTCAGAGTAACAGCCATGTTAGTCTGTATTCGCAAAAAGAAAAGGAGTACTTGTGGCACCTTAGAGACTAACCAATTTATCTGAGCATAAGCTTTCGTGAGCTACAGCTCACTTCATCGGATGCATACTGTGGAAAGTGTAGAAGATCTTTTTATATACACACAAAGCATGAAAAAATACCTCCTCCCACCCCACTCTCCTGCTGGTAATAGCTTATCTGAAGTGATCACTCTCCTTACAATGTGTATGATAATCAAGGTGGGCCATTTCCAGCACAAATCCAGGGTTTAACAAGAACGTCGGGGGGGGGGGTAGGAAAAAACAAGGGGAAATAGGTTACCTGGAAATGGACCACCTTGATTATCATACACATTGTAAGGAGAGTGGTCACTTTAGATAAGCTATTACCAGCAGGAGAGTGGGTTTGTGTGGAGGGGGGGGGGGTGAGAAAACCTGGATTTGTGCTGGAAATGGCCCAACTTGATTATCATACACATTGTAAGGAGAGTGATCACTTTAGATAAGCTATTACCAGCAGGAGAGTGGGGTGGGAGGAGGTATTTTTTCATACTTTGAGTGTTACACTGTTGACTCATATTTAGCTTGTGGTCCACTCACTGACCCCCAGATCCCTTTCTGCAGTACTCTTTCCTAGGCAGTCATTTCCCATTTTGTATGTGTGCAACTGACAACTCCTTCCTAAGTGGAGTACTTTGCATTTATCCTTATTGAATTTCATCCTATTTACTTCAGACCGTTTCTCAAGTTTGTCCAGATCATTTTGAATTTTAATCCTATCGTCCAAATTACTTGCAACCCCTCCCAGCTTGGTATCATCTGAAAACTTTGTAAGTGTACGCTCTATGCCATTATCTAAATCATTGATGAAGATATTGAACAGAACTGGACCCAGAACTGATCCCTGTGGATCCCTGTTATGCCCTTCCAGCATGACTGAACCACGGATAACTACTCCCTGGGAACAGTTTTCCAACCAGTTTTGCACCCACCTTATAGTAGCTCCATCTAGGTTGCATTTCCCTAGTTTGTTTGTGACAGTCATGCGAGACAGTATCAAAAGCTTTACTAAAGTCAAGATATACCACGTCTACCACTTTCCCCCATCCAGAAGGCTTGTTACCGTGCCAAAGAAAGCTATCAGATTGGTTTGACACAATTTGTTCTTGACAAATCCATGCTGACTGTTACTTATCACCTTATTATCTTCTAGATGATTGCAAATTGATTGCTCAATTATTTGCTCCATTATCTTTCCAGGTACAGAAGCTAAGCTGACAGGTCTGTAATTCCCCAGGTTGTCCTTATTTCCCTTTTTATAGAATGGTACTATATTTGCCCTTTTCCAGTCCTCTGGAATCTCTCCCGTCTTCCATGACTTTTCAAAGATAATCGCTAATGGCTCAGATATCTCCTCAGTCAGCTCCTTGAGTATTCTAGGATGCATTTCATCAGGCCCTGGTGACTTGAAGACATCTAACTTGTCTAAGTAATTTTTAACTTGTTCTTTCCCTATTTTAGCCTCTGATACTACCTCATTTTCACTGGTATTCACTATGTTTGACGTCCAATCGCCACCAACCTTCTTGGTGAAAACCAAAACAAAGAAGTCATTAAGCACCTCTGCCATTTCCACATTTTTTGTTATTGTTTCCCCCACCCCCCACCCCGCATTGAGTAATGGGCCTACCCTTTCCTTGGTCTTCCTCTTGCTTCTAATGTATTTGTAGAATATTTTCTTGTTACCCTTTATGTCTCTAACTAGTTTGATCTCATTTTGTGCCTTGGCCTTTCTAATTTTGTCCCTACATACTTGTGTTATTTGTTTATATTCATCCTTTGTCATTTGACCTAGTTTCCACTTTTTGTAGGACTCTGTTTTGATTTTTGGATCATTGAAGATCTCCTGGTTAAGCCAGGGTGCTCTCTTGCCAGACTTCCTATCTTTCCTATGCAGTGGGATAGTTTGCTCTTGTGCCCTTAATAATGCCTCTTTGAAAAACGGCCAACTGTCTTCAATTGTTTTTCCCCTTAGACTTGCTTCCCATGGGATCTTACCTACCAACTCCCTGAGTTTGTTAAAGTCTGCCTTCTTGAAATCCAGTGACTTTACTTTGCTGTTCTCCCTCCCACCATTCCTTAGAACCATTTCATGATCACTTTCACTCAAGCTACCTTCCACTTTCAAATTCTCAACTAGTTCCTCCCTATTTGTCAAAATCAAATCTAGAACAGCCTCTCCCCTAGTAGCTTTCTCCACCTTCTGAAATAATAGATCCCTATGCTGGATTTGCTGCTTGGCATGCCCCAGGCTGGGGGACTCCAGTGGGCATGTGTGTGGGACAAGAGACACTGTGCATCAGCTAGAAGTGAGATGATAAAGGAGGGCATACACTGCAACCCGAGCCCACTGTGCTCCCATCTCAGCACAGGGAGCAGAGGACTCGCTGCTAACACAAATCCCAGCCCAGAAGGAGCTATTAAGCTCCTCCCTCCATCCAGGCCGACACTGGCATCAGGCTGCTCAGAGTGTGGCACTCACACTGATCGTCAGCATTGCAGTGAGGTATCATGTGCATCCCTAGCCCCTCGCGTTCTCAGAATGCAGCCTTGATCTAGACACTCAGCTCAGTCAAGAGAGAATGTCATTTACCAGGCAGGGTGCTGCCAGCACCCCAAGGCTTCCAGTGCCAGCTGGCACCTCACTGGGCAATGTCCTCATCTAGACCAGACCCAATTAGATGTGTGAGATTTACCTTTAGCAGTTTGCCTCTCCTGGGAGATCAGTTTTGTTTGGGGAAGGGCGAATTGGGGTTTCTCTCTGAGCAGCTAGTTCTTGCTATGGAAAAGTATCTGCAAACAACTTGGTTTGTGACATTAGCTATTTCCCCCTGAATGGATGGTGCTATGGGCAGATCCTGGTCTCAGCTCTGGCAACGTGGATACAGACCCACGCCGCTGCAGCCACTGGAGTCACTCCAGATTTATCCCAGCAGGCCCTGGCATGGATCCCTGCTGCTCTCACGCTCACCTGGTTCGGTTCAGCTCAATCTTACATGGATCCAACTCGACATACTTCTTTTCCTCAAAGATCCGGTTTATGATCGGCTTCAGGACCTCATGGAGATAGGGCATCCCTACCACCTGCAGAGACAGCAGAAAATGGATGAATGATGGAGGGGAGTGGAAGGGGATAAGAGAGAATGGGGGAAGCAAGAAGGAAGGAAGAGATCGGGAAGGGGAGAAGGAGGATAAAGGGAAGAAAGAAAGAAAGTATAAGTAGGGGCATAGCGAGCAGATCGAGGGACGTGATCGTTCCCCTCTATTCGACATTGGTGAGGCCTCATCTGGAGTACTGTGTCCAGTTTTGGGCCCCACGCTTCAAGAAGGATGTGGATAAATTAGAGAGAGTCCAGCGAAGGGCAACAAAAATGATTAGGGGTCTGGAACACATGAGTTATGAGGAGAGGCTGAGGGAGCTGGGATTGTTTAGCCTGCAGAAGAGAAGAATGAGGGGGGATTTGATAGCTGCTTTCAACTACCTGAAAGGGGGTTCCAAAGAGGATGGCTCTAGACTGTTCTCAATGGTAGCAGATGACAGAACGAGGAGTAATGGTCTCAAGTTGCAGTGGGGGAGGTTTAGATTGGATATTAGGAAAAACTTTTTCACTAAGAGGGTGGTGAAACACTGGAATGCGTTACCTAGGGAGGTGGTAGAATCTCCTTCCTTAGAGGTTTTTAAGGTCAGGCTTGACAAAGCCCTGCCTGGGATGATTTAACTGGGAATTGGTCCTGCTTCGAGCAGGGGGTTGGACTAGATGACCTTCTGGGGTCCCTTCCAACCCTTATATTCTATTCTATGATTCTATGATTCGAAAGAAAGAAAGAAAGAAAGAGACTGGGTCAGACTAATGGTCCTTCTAGCTCAGTGTCCTGTCTCTGACAATGGCATACCAGATGCTTCAGAGGGAGTGAACAAAACAGCATCTGGCAGCCAGAGGCTTAGGGATACCTGGAGCATAGGGTTGCGTTCCTGCCCATCTTGGCTAATAGCTATTGATGGATCTGGCCACGAACTTATGTCATTCTTTTTTTAATCCAGTTGCACTTCTGGCCTTCACTTTTGGCAGCAAGTTCCACGACTGACTGTGTGTTGTGTGAAGAAATACTTCCTTATGTTTGTTTTAAACTTGCTGCCTATTTATTTCAGTGGGTGACCCCTGGTTCTGGTGTTATGTGAAGGGGTAAATAACACTGCCCTATTTATTTTCTCCGCACCAGGCATGATTGTATCGCCCTCTGTCATAACCTCCCCTGGTCGGCTCTTTCTAAGCTAAACAGTTACACTTTTTTCTCTTTCATTGTGGGGAAGCCGTTCCACACCGCTAATCATTGTAGTGGCTCTTCTCTGAACCTTTTCCAATTCTAATATATCTTTGTTGCGATGGAGCGACCAGAATTACACACATCTTTCAAGGTGTGGGTGTACCAGGATTTATATAGTGGCATGATGATATTTTCTGTCTTATTATCTATCCCTTTAATGATTCCCAACATTCTGTTGGCTTTTTTGACGGCTGCTGCACACTGAGTGGATGTTTTCAGAGAACTATCCACGATGACTCCAAGATCTCTTGCTTGACTGCTAACAGCTAATTTAGAAAGGATGAACATACAGAGAGGAGAGATGAGGAGGAGAAATTGGAGAGTGCCACTCATTACAGGTTCTGCAACCCAAGGGACAAGCCCCAGGTTTGACCCTAACCTGCCTTCCAGGGGATTGTTGAAGCCTCACGTCACTTCCTAGCACCCCCTCTTGGAGCTGTAAGGAACGGTGCTTGCCATTCTCTGATGGAGAAAGCTGGTTGCAAGGGGATCCCTGGGGCACAGGAAAAAGGGGAAGCTAGGGCAGTAAATGCCACTGAAAGGGGTGCCACAGCTCTCTTTGTGAGCTGACCAGTAGGCCCAGCTGAGGATGACAGTGGGAAAGGAGAGAACAGCTTTCTCCTCGCTGCCAGAGAGGGGGTCTTTACAGTGAGAGAACGCTACTGATGCATGATGGGTACCTCACCAGGAAATCCTGGCCCCCGTAGTGCTCGCCGGCGATCAGCACTTTACACCCCTCCAAGAGTGGCCTGCCTAGCTCACCTCAGGGTAAAACAGCTTCTCCCGCCCCTTGCAGAGGTGGGTTTATTATGCTGATCTCCCCTCAGCAGAGAGCGTCTTCACCAGACGCACTGCCGTGGTGCAGCGGCACTGCTGCCGTGCTGCGTGTGTAGATAAGCCCTGAATAAACACTTCAGGGTATGTCTCCACTGGACATTTTGCCCATTAACCCCTGTGATCCTTGGGGTAAAGAACAAACCGGGATGAAACATGTGGGGTGATTTCACAAAGCTGTTAACTACCCCAAACTCATTGGCAATCAATTACCAGGAGACACAAGAGTCTAGTGAAGACAACCCCCAAAATTTAGCCCTTCTGGGGCTCTTCTCATGGCCAGTGCACACCCCTGGCAGATCAATATTAGCAGACAACCAGCTCCCTGTATCCACCGCCTATCCCACAGACAAGGACACAGAGAGATTTGCCTGAGGCCACCACAATTGGAATCTGAACTAGCCAGGAGTTCCTGGCTCCCAGCTCTGTGCTCGGACCAGCATGTCACTTTTCTCATGGTGTTATTTCACAGGCTACACAGGGAGGAGGATGGAAGAGGGGCCCTTAGCATGCTGAGGTATGGCACAGATCAGAGTTACTAACACCGGCTTTCCCGGAATTCACTGGGACACTCTCCACCACACTCACCTTCATAAACTGCTCCATGGATTTGGAGGCCAGGGAGTTGGAGCGGAAGAGTGTGTTCGGATCAGCTGGAAGCAAAGAAAATGGATTTATAACCCAGCCGGGACCTGTGCCACATTGCGTTTTCACAGTGCCTTTCACACAGCCTCCATCCCACATGGCATCAGCTAGACACAGCAGGGGGGTAGGTGCAAAGATGTTATCCAGTGACTCAGAGCCTTCAGCCCTATGGACAGCAGCACAGGGACTGAGAGACTGAGAGGTGCTAGCAGCAGGGAGCAGATGGGTCTCCAAGAAGAAGGGGTGGAGACAGGCAGGCTGCTTCAGGCAGCAGGAGCTGCAGGGAAGAAGGCGCTCACACCAGCAGAGAGAGAGAAGAGGTTGGGAGGGGAGGGAAGCATAGGACTGGGGAGTGCAGCTCAGGCGAGAGCAGGGGAGACATGCATGAGGATCCCAGCAGAGATGGAGCCATGTCACATGCAAGGGGGGCAGTGCCCTGGAAAGCCAGCAAGAAGTGAGGGGACAGCAAATGGAGACAAGAACCCTGCCGTGGTTCTTACTTTGGAAGGCTGGTCCCAGGGAAGAGAACCAGGGCCTTATCCCTGGTCACAATAAGGCCCTTGGACTCTGATAGTGTGAAGTGGGGAGGAAAGCCCGAGAACTCCCCTGCTTAAGTGACCTCCCTGGCCATCTAGGGTGGCGTAAGGGCTATGCAGAGCCCCACTCCTGGCATAGGGGTGTGAGCAGAGTGGCCAGTGCTATGGCTATGCACTGGCTGCCACGCAAAGCAGGGTAAGTTAGAGCAGCCCTGAGATGGCTCTGAGTTGCACTGGGAGCTGGGTAGGCTCCAGAATACAGGGATCCCAAAGATAGCTTAAAGTCACCTTACCCCACCCTTCTATCCCTGCCCCAAGAGCAGGAAAGGCGTGACTGGGAATTTGGACTTTAATCTAGTCCATTCCCACCACAAGGGTTTCTCTAAATGGCCTCTCTCCCCACCACGTAGCCAGGCCGTGAGCTCAGTCCTGGGCAGACGCCAAGCGATTCACTGCATTGGTGCTGGAACTGGGCCAAGCCCAACCGAATTGCTTCCTCCCGTAGGTAGAGGCAAGCAGCCAGGAGCACGCCCCAGTCACTACGTCTGCTCTGAAAAGAAGCACTGCCCTTGGAGTAGCTCCCATGTTAGACCTGGTGGAACCAATACCACTGGTACCAGAGCCACGGACACCTTAGACACTGATCCCCACCAGTACCCAGGGCCCGGACACCTTACACACTGATCCCCACCAGTATCCAGGGCCCGCACACCTTAGACACTGATCCCCACCGGTATCCAGGGCCCGCACACCTTAGACACTGATCCCCACCGGTATCCAGGGCCCGCACACCTTACACACTGATCCCCACCGGTATCCGGGGCCCGCACACCTTACACACTGATCCCCACCGGTATCCGGGGCCCGCACACCTTACACACTGATCCCCACCGGTATCCGGGGCCCGCACACCTTACACACTGATCCCCACCGGTATCCGGGGCCCGGACACCTTACACACTGATCCCCACTGGTACCCGGGGCCCGGACACCTTAGACACTGATCCCCATCGGTATCCAGGGCCAGGACACCTTAGACACTGATCCCCATCGGTATCCAGGGCCCGCACACCTTACACACTGATCCCCACCGGTATCCAGGGCTAGGGTACCTTAGACACTGATCCCCACCGGTATCCAGGGGCAGGACACCTTAGACACTGATCCCCACTGGTATCCGGGGCAGAGTACCTTAGACACTGATCCTATCCAGGGCCAGGGCACTTTAGACACTGATCCCCAATGCTATCCTGGGGCACGGTTATCTAGATACTAATACCCCGTGGTACCCATACTCCCTGGTACCTATTGCCATGGGTACCAATGCTCACTGGTACTAGGGTCACGGGATGTTGCAGATTTTCCCCTATGAGTGTTCACAAAGTGACAGGGGAACTTTCACCCAATGTGGCTCCAGACATACAGTTCTGATCTCGATCACAAACCCTGCAAAGCTCAGTGGTGCTGGGATGTAGAGTTTGGTCCAGCCCATTACAGAGAAAGGACAATCATTACATGCGGAACCAGATTTCAAATACCTGGGGGTGAAGTCATCATAATTCTTATTTGTTTTATGCTGGGGCCTAAAGACCCTGGCTGAGCTCGGAACCATTCTGTGCTAGGTGCTGTACAGACACAGAATGGGACAGAGTCCCTGTGTCCCACTGTAAATAGACAAGACATGCAAAGGGTGGGAGGGGAAACTGAGGCATGGCAAGGGGCAGTGACTTGCCCAAAGGCAGACAGTAGGTCCATGGCAGAATCAGGAACAGAATCCAGGTCTCCTGTCTCCCAATCCAGTGATCTATCCACTAGGCCACACTGTGTCCCATGGTGCCATCTACCATGCTTGTCTCACATGCAGCTGCTCCTAATGAGTGGGGAGGAGTTTGTTTCCACACATATTGACCCTTCGCTCTCCTTGCCCCATTAAGTTTCAATGGGGAGACCTAGCTCCTATGCTCCGGCCCAAACCTGCCTATTTCCAGCTCCCAAATGTTGCCAAGTGTCAGAACCCAGGTTTGATCAGAGCATTTCTGGCCCATATTCCATTTTTCTGCCACCCCCTGCCTCCAAACCAGGCAGCCTGGGGTTTTCATGGAAACACAATGGTATATTCGTACCAAAAGAAGGATGCTACGGTGAGGAGAGGAGCCAATCATGAAGTTATGACAGGAAACCAGGTGACTGGCTCCGAGTTTGAAGCAAGGTCTATTCGTGACCTGGAACAGTTGGAAGGGGGCAGGAGGTCTTGGTAGCTGCCCCCTCACTCCCCCGCCTGCCATGTGACTACAGACTTGAGATCAGGAGCGGGAGAATGGGAAGCAAGCCCCGCCCTTTGGAAATAGAGGAGTGGGAGTTCCTGCCCCCCTTCCTTTGTGGGTCCCAAGGCCAGGCTGAATTCAAAAGCTTGCCTTGGTGTCAGAGGATGGGCTCACTTCAGATGGTCCTCCCTTGGAATCACAAGCAAAAGACCTAAGAGATGAGTGCCCAGGGAAATGCACAGGGGCGTGGCATGGAGGCAGGTACCAATGTCAGCTGGTAGCTAAGGTCACAAGGGCCAGGTACTGATACCTGCTGGTAGCTAGGGCCACAGGTACCAATGCTGACTGGGACTAGTGTCACAGGTACCTAGGTATCGATACTAACTGGTACCTGGGTGCTAGGTAAGGTGTGGAAATGGGCTCAATGGGTATTCAATTAACTCCTCCCTCCCCCGGATTTTCCTGGTCTAGGTGTGGCACAAGAGAATCCCCACCCCCACCCCGAACACCAGGCAAGCAGCAGCGAGTTCCCTCCATATGGAGCACCCCAGATCACTTTGGGAACTCCCTCAGTCCAGGCCCTGGCACTCCACAGTGATGCCCAGTGCCATGAGGTTTGGCAGTGATAAGCAGCCCGTGGGGAAGGTACTGGGCCAGGCTCTCGCCACCAGGCCTGTGGGGCAGCACTTACTGGTCTTGGCCACCTCCCGCAGGTTGAGGTAGTCCAGGAAGGGCACCGCCAGGCCCTGTCCCAGGAAGATCTTCACCAGCTTTGTGGCCACGTCCTGCCGGCTCTCCACTGAGCTGATCTCCTCCAGCAAGGCCAGCGGGCTGACGTCCTCCTCCTGCCGCACAGCAGGGCAGCGATGCTGTCTGGCCAGCATGCGTCTGCCCCATCCAGGGAGACCCTCAGAGCCCCCGCACCAGAGCCCCCTCTGCCCCACACCGACAAGGGCCTCTATGCCCTCCATCCCCAGAGCTCTCTCTGCCCCACACCGAGTGGGGCCCCTCTGCCCCACACAGGGAGATCCTCTCTTCCCCAAGGACCTGCTGTGCCCCCACACACCAGGAGGGTCCATCTCTGACCCCCATCCCCGGAGGAAGCTTTCAGACAGATGTGGGGTGCAGCGGGGATGGAAGCTGACAGGCCATTTGGATCGCGCGGCCAGGCTGACCCTGCAGAACCACAAGCTCAGCTGAGCACCCAGCCCCTTCCCCAGCTCCGTGACCCTCTGTAGCATAGCCAGTCCCTTGCCCCCAAGGCCCTGGACAGGACCCTGTCTATGGCTCCAGCCTGGGCTCCTCCTCCTCCCGGCACCCCCTCCACCTTCCCCTGGGACGAGCGCCCGCCTGCTGCCAGCTAACGTCTGCCCCTCCTGAAACTGTCTCCTGCCCCCAGCAGCGCTCTCCCTACCTCCCTCAGCTTGCAGGGCAGGGCAGAGGGCACATCTCACCCTGGCCGGGTAGCCCTGGGTGAGGCCAAGGTGCTAGAGGTATATGGTCCCGATGCTTCCTACTGGCTTCCGGGAAGCCCAGCCTCAAGCCAGCAACAGGCTCCATCACCCCAGTGTAGAGGCCAGGCAAGGCCAGTGCGAGGCACCCAGCAGCCTGGAAGCTGGCTGCCCAGTGGACAGCTGCAGAGCCAGGGCTGAAGCCTGTTGCTGGCAGGACACAGGGTAGTGGCTTGAGGAGCCCTCCCAGGGGTGTGCCACTGTTACCCCTGCACTGCACGGCCCCTAGGGCTGGGCTGGGCTTGTTTGCAACCGTCCAAAGCACTGAGCCTGCACCTGGCCCAAGGAGGGCTGTCTGCTGTACTCGGCACCTGGGCGTGCCCCCGGAGCCCAGCCACAAGGGCTGGAGCCTGCAGAGTGAACCCAGGCCCGGGAGCACCTAGGGCTCTGGCTGCGAAGCCTGCAGCATGCAGCCTGCACTACCAGCAGGCTAGAGGGGACTGGCACATCGGAGAGCACACAGCCACCCCCAGGCTGCCCCGCTCACTAGCTGGCTGCTGCATCACCACGTGACCCCCAGCCCCAGAGTGGTGTGGTGACTCTCCAGAAGTGGGGCCAGCAGGGCACAGAGGGGGCCAGCGGAATCAGAACAGCCCTGTGGAGAAATCGTGGCTGGGGGCAAGCGCAGGACAGGAAAAGGAAGGTAGCTAAGACTCACTGCCACTGGCTATTGAACCTTGTGCATGATCACGGTTGTCCTAACAACAATAGCCAACCCATGAACCAGATCCCGGCCCCCCTTGCTCACCCTGACGGCCCCCAAGTCGCAACAGGCCCTGGTCAGAGGCAGTGACATGCAGCCGGTGACCAGAGCTGCCTGCCACTGCGGCTTCAGTGACACTACAAAACTTCGCGTGCACAAACATACAAGCACACGTCCATATCCACGTGCAAACACACAGCTGCACGCACGTCTGCATGCACGTACACACACACACACGTCTGCACACACACGTTTGCACACACGTACAGGCTTGGGGACAGCTGCTCTCTGCTTTAATCTTCATTCAGATTAACACGCCCGTTGGGTGCTACCCCACTCCTGCAGAGCCATCAGGCAGTGCTGGTGAGTGGCTCTGTGCTACCAGGGCTCCACAGGGATGACAAGGGACAGATCGTTGCAGGCCCCAGGCGGCTGGGAGATGAAGTGCAGGCTAAGGAGGAAATGCTGCAGGCCTGCAGGACAGAGGCGCTGCTATAGAGGGGTCAGCCAGCAACTGCTGGGTAGGGTGACCAAGTGTCCGGTTTTCGCCCGGAACACCTGCTTGAAAAGGGACCCTGGCGGCTCCGGTCAGCACCGCCGACCGGGCTGTTAAAAGTCCAGATGGCGGTGCTGCCCGGCGAAGGCAGGCTACTCCCTACCTGTCCTGGGCCTAAGAAGTGGCCAACAGGTCCGGCTCCTAGGCGGCGGGCCATGGGGCGCCGCATGCTGCCTAAGCCCTGGCTCCACACTGGTGCCTGGGGGTGAGAGCAGTGCGTGCCGCAGAGCTTCCTGCCCCCACACCTCCTGCCTAGGAGCTGGACCTGCTGGCCGCTTCTGGGGTGCAGCACGGAGCCAGGACAAGCAGGCAGCCTGCTTTAGCCCCTCTGCGCTGCTGACTGGGATTCTGCCCAAGTGGGGGAGGGATAGCTCAGTGGTTTGAGCCTTGGCCTGCTAAACCCAGGGTTGCGAGTTCAATCCTTGAGGGGGCCATTTAGGGATATGGGGCAAAAATTGGGGATTGGTCCTGCTTTGAGCAGGTGGTTGGACTAGATGACCTCCTGAGGTCCCTTCCAACCCTGATATTCTATGATTCTAAGCCCCTGAGCCCTCCCAGCACCCCAAACCCCTCATCCTTGGTCCACCCCAGAGCCCATACCCCCAGCCCAGATCCCATACTCCCTCCTGCACCCCAACCCCCAGCCCTGATTTCCCCCAAACCTGGAGCCCCCTCCTCCACTCCAGAGCCCACACTCCCAGCCCAGAGCCCCCCCAACCCTGAACCCCTCATACCCGGCCCCACCCCAGAGCCCTCACCCCCTCCCACACCCCAACCCCCTGCCTCAACCCACAGCCCCCTCCCACACTCTGAATTCCTCAGCCCCACCCCCCTGCCTGGAGCCCCTCCTGTACCCCAAACTCTTCATCCCCGGCCCCACCCCAGAACCCGCATCCCCAGCTGGAGCCCTCACCCCCTCCCGCAACCCAACTCCCTGCCCCAGCCCGGAGCCCCCTCCTGTACCCTGAACCCCTCATTTCTGGCCCCACCCCAGAGCCTGCACCCCCATTTAGAGCTCTTACCCCCTCCTGCACCCAACCCCCTGCCCCAGCCCAGTGAAAGTGAGTGAGGGTGGGGGAGAGCAAGCCACCAAGGGAGGGGGAATGTAGTGAGCGGGGGGGCCCTCGGGGAAGTGGGGACTAGGGTGTTTGGTTTTGTGCGATTAGAAAGTTGGCAACCCTACTGCTGGGGCACAAACACTGCAGTAGCACGGAACTGTTCAGATCCCCCTGGTGGCATGAGTGAGGGGCCTGGGAACTAGAAAGCAAACTGAGGATGCCCACGGCTTCCCTTCCTCCCTTCCATCTCCCCCACCCCCCATTCCCCTCCTTCCCGCATCTCCCCCATCCCATCCTTCCCATCCCCCCCCCCCGCCCCCCGTGTGTGCTGTCTGCATGTGGCTTGGACGCAGACACAGTCAGGTGGCCATGCACAATGAGCTAGGCGGGCCGGTACCCACCTCAGCAGGGCACAGGATGGATTCCACCAGGAGCTCAATCAGGGGCTGGTAGTACATGGAGGGCAGGATCCTGTCCTCAGCCAGTCGGACTCTCAGCCGCAGAGCCCCCAGCTTTCCTCTGCAATGACACCCGAGACACCACCCATATGGGCAAGCGTGCGTGGAATGAGTGCAAACCAGCACATGGGAGCCGGTATGTGCAACCTGGTTCTAGCCAGCTCAGCCCACCAGCACAGCAACCAGAATCTACACCCAGTACCAACAAAAACCCAGAGCCAAGAACTCTCAAGATGAGCCTGATCCCCTCTGTCCTTAACTGCTCCCCCTCTGCTCCTCACCTTTCCTTCCAGCCCAATGGCATGGGGTAAAACCTCAGCCTTCACTGGGCTTGGGCTGTGCCGATTGCTATCAGTGCCCTGCCCAGCACCACCCCGTGGCACTGGTGTGTTTCCACCAGTGGAAGAACATAGTCCTGTCCCACCACTGCTCTGCCTCGGCACGGGCTCTGTGGGTGAATCATGCTGGCGTCAGTGCATCCAGCGACCTTTCCATTCATCTGGCCAAGCCTTTCAAGCTCCCATTTCAAGGCAGGATGAATGGCAATAAGGAGAGAGGTCACCCAGAGCTGGACTATTTCAGCACCTTACAGAGGATCCCCTCTGCTGCCCCAGTGGCTCTTGTGCCTGATCCACTCCCAGACTCAAAGCCCCCACAGGCTTCTCTTAGAGCACACGCGGGGCCCCGCTCGTGTGCTGGGGGGGAAGCGAGAGCTCAGTGGGGTTCAGAGCCCCAGCACCCTAGTTCCGGGCACTTTGCTTTTGTGTTAATAGAGCCCAAGGGACCAGGGCAGGAAATAAAATGCCCATATTAACTCCAATTAAAGACATCCTCTTAACCCCTTCAGCACCCTGCAGATGTTCAGTGCACATACGGGAAAGTGGCAAGGGGTGACCTGGTGGATGAACAAACCCCTCCCGACTGCCTTTGAGGAAGGGCAGCATCACTAGACCTCATTTTTCAGTTGGGGAAACTGAGACACAGAGCAGGGGCCTGCCTCACCCAAGGTGAGCATGCAAATCAATGGCAGAGCTGGGATAAGCACTAGATACACCACCCCCCATGTCGGAAATGGAACCCAGGAGTCCTGACTCCCAAAGCCCTGGTGTAACCACAGTTCCATGCTCCTCTCCCAGAGCTGGGATTCAAAGCCAGGCTCACTCCTTCTCGTCCCCCCAGGGGTTAATGATGGCCCCTAGCTCAAGGCTGACTGTTTACCCAGCATCCTCCTCAGCAGTGGGGAAGGGCAGGAGCCTGAACCAGCCTTTGGCAGGGGACCTCTGAAGAGCGTCCAGAGAGAACTCAACCTGTGTGGGATACAAAGAGAGGGACAGTAAGGGGACAGGAGCTGACAGCAGGGGGCAGTACTGCAGTGTTCGGGGGAGCCTCTTCCCATTGTCCCAGCCCTTGGCGATATAGGGGGAAAACTCAAGCCCTCACATTAGCTGCCAGTGTGGTTCATCCCCAGGCTGTTTCCCTGCCAGACTCTTAGAGCACTTCCAGCTTCACACTGCAGTAGCTCTGCCCCGGGACCCCTGCGGCGTCCTCCAGCCCCAGGACCCCTGGGGAGCCGGCGTGCTCCAGCCCCAGGACCCCTGGGGAGCCGGCGTGCTCCAGGCCTGGAAGCAGGAGGCTGAATGGATTCCACCCTCCACTTCAACTCCCTCTGCCCCACAGCACCAAAACAGGGGACCCCCAAATTAAAATGGGGCTTGTTTACCTGGTCAGGCCTGCAGATCTCCCTGCAGTGGATCCTGGGGCTGAAGGGACCTAAACCCAAGCAAGACGCACAGTAGGGCCCAGACATGGGCCGAGGGCTCCCCACCGAGCACCAGGCTTTACACCTGTCATCATTTTTAAATTGCTTCCCTAGCTGAGCTGCTCAGATACCTAGAAACCATTGCTGCCATCAGCAAACTACTCCATGCCCCTTGGAGTTGGTCTACACTGCAGTTAGACCCCCGCCCCTGGCAGCTGTGATGGATCCCTTAGCCTCTTTGGGGGCCCAGGCACTAGATGGGGGAGGAGGGCAGGGGCACCCACAAGCGCAAACACACGCACCAAGAACAGTTGCAAAACCTTTTCCTTTCACAAAGATGTTAAGCCCTGTGACGTTATTGACATAAACTATAACCGTATAGATCATTGGTGCAACCACTGGTATATATTTGCAGCAAAAAGGGTAAAAAGGTTGTCATGTAAGGTGTCTATGGAAAGGTTATGATTTGCTGATTATGATTATGCTATCTGTATTGGTGTGTCATGTTTGTAGTTGAAGTTATGAATATTGGCTATGTACTTGTATATCAATGTGTTTTGATTCTAAGTAGCCTCAGTGAAGCATTTGGTCAGCTTCTTGAGAAGGGACTAGTCTCAGTAAGTGCCCAGTCAAGAAACACTGAACTGACAATGGACTTTGGCAGACTCCACGTCTGAGCTGTCCTGGGAACGTTCAAACTAACATGTAAACAATGGCATTGGCCTGTAAAGAACGGAGTCATGCACGGACATGTGACTTGCCCATGTGACTCCAAACTCCATCTTGCTGTGATCTTGCACAGGAGAATCAAGGGATTTCCACCCACAAGAGAAAGCCTAGCTCCTCCATCTTGCCTTTAGTCCTGATTCTTGCCTCTGGAGGGACTTTGCTACAAACTGAAGCTCTAAACAAAGGACTGAATGACCCATCCCACCTGTGGATGTTCTCCAGAGACTGGACTTGAACCTGCAGTTTATTCCATCACTGCTACAAACCTGAACCAAGAACTTTGTCATCACTGTATGTCATTGATTCCATTTAACCATTTCTAGCTCTCATCTCTATCTTTTTCCTTTTATGAATAAACCTTTAGATTTTAGATTCTAAAGGATTGGCAACAGCATGATTTGTGGGTAAGATCTGATTTGTATATTGACCGGGGTCTGGGGCTTGGTCTTTTGGGATCGAGAGAACCTTTTTCCTTTTACTGGGGTATTGGTTTTCATAACCATTCATCCACCTAACAAGTGGCACTGGTGGAGATACTGGGAAACTGGAGTGTCTAAGGGAATTGCTTGAGTGACTTGTGGTTAGCCAGTGGGATAAAACCAAAGTCCTCTGTCTGGCTGGTTTGGTTTGCCTTGGTGTGCAAAGGAACCCCAGCCTTGGGCTGTGACTGCCCTGCTCTGAGCAATTTGTCCTGAATTGACACTCTCAGAAGTGTCCCACCAAAAGCAGGATCATTACAAGCCCTCTCTCCCCACTTGCTTGGCCTGACTCTTCTGACAGGAGGCTGGCCCAAGTCCTGCTGAGCCACCCCCGGTGGAATAGCAATCAGACAGATTCTGCTTCCCTGGCAGACAGAACCGCGATGACATGGGGATCAAGTGAACTGAGCAGCAGTTTCAGGTCCCAGCTGCCGGCTTGTTCTGGCTTGGGTCAGGACAGAGCATTACGTACCCTACAGAGATCTCCAAGCTGTACCCTTCGCCCTCCATGATTCATGAGCATTTTCCTCTCTCTCTGGCCTCTTCTCCTTGGAATTGATTCAGTCACACTAAGGTCCCTTGTGCCACTCTGGCAGACTACATAGTGCATGGGGAGGGCGCCAGAGATGCCCCCTTGCTGAAGCAGAACTGGTACGTGTGACCTACATGAGCCTGCTCTCAGCCCACGGGCACAAGGGCAGATCCGGGCTGGAGCCAGCGCTGCTCTCCAGCTATTCAGAGCCCACAGGGAGGGGGCATGGAAAGCAAAGCATGAGCTACAGCAGCCCTGGGACCATGTTAATTTACACCAGAGGCCAGCAGAATCCAGCGAGTGCAAGGGGGGGCTTAGAACCAGCCTCACACATACACCCCTGTCCTGTCCCCGGCCACGAGCACAGCAACACAGGAACGAAGAAACCAGCCTGGTAGGCTATTTCCCCGCACCAGACCAGCTGAGAAAGGGATCTGCTCTCCTTGCAAGCCAGCAGGAGATTTGAGGTTGCAGCAGGCCTATGTGCCATTGGCTTTCTCCCCCTCCAATCCCCTCTTCATCCCCCACCCCGATCAGAGCCACCAGCCCCCTCGCTGGAGGTACTGAGGAGATGGCCAGAGCTGCTCACCCGTCCCAGGAAGTCGTTCTTCCCCACCATGTCCCAGTCCCACACCTCCACGCTCACAAGGGACCCCTTGGGTTCCTTCTTGGGCACCCCCTCCTCCAGGTCAAACTCCAGCACCTCATCCCAGTGTGGGAAGCGAGTCTTCTTAATGATCTGCAAGGGGAGAGAGAAAGGTGGCATGTCAGAGAGGAATGGGGAGTTAGGTGGGGAAGGTTTGTTCCAGAATAATGACATGGGTGTGACACAGAGCTCCTGGCAAAAGCCAAGAGCAATTGTAACCCACACACCTCCTGGGTGTGGTTTCTGTCCCATCTAGTGGCACCGAGACCACTTAGAGAGAGATTAATGAGTTTGCTCTACAGCCTTAGCTAACGGTCATATGGCTTTTAGCTTATGTGGTAGAGGTTCATGCATTTAGCTCCAGAGGTCCCAGGTTCGATCCTGCCTGCTAACAACCAGGATCTGTCAGCGTTACACAATGTTGGGAACAAAAACAAAGGCTGTTTGAAATGGGCACTTCAACTCAGCTGCAGGGCAACCCTGCTGCAGCAGCAAAATAGTGAGGCGAGCCAGTGTTTTCTTGCCAGAAAAGGCGTCTCTTATAAACAAGAACTGCAGCATTCTTCAGTAATGGGCCAAACCACAAAGCTCCTGACCCTGCTCTGGGCATGCCATGGGTAGGTGCGCCATTTTCCCTCCGCTGCATTGAGAGGCAAAGGACGGAGCAAGAGCACAAGGATGCCCTAGGCTTCCCATCCCTATAACACCTAACGCAGCTAAAGCGGGGCTGGGGTAGGCCACACCCCCCTGCAACTTTGCATCTCTCCTCACCTACAGATATGTCTAGGAAGAGAGCTCTTCCCTGGGCAGGTGTCAGCTGGGGGGCAGGGCCTGGCCCTAAGCCCTTTCCTTGTGTTTGCTGTGTGCTGGGAGGGTGCTGCAATGCATCATGTCCTCTCGGCTCCAAGGGCCCAGCCCAGCCCATGTCACACATGTCCTGCTGGTGGATTCAGGGCTCAGATCCTAGAGTGGTGGGTGGGAGATACACAGGCAGGCTTCCCACCCCTCTCTCAGCAATCACTAGCACACAATGCAAACCATCCGGAGTCCCAGTGACAGAAGGGGGAGGGCGGGGAAGTCTGTTTGCCCCTCCCAGAGCCCCTCCCCTTGTGCCACTGGCATTGCCACTACAAGGAGGCCTGTCCCCTCCCCTGCCCCCGTGCAGCCAGGCCAGAGAGCATGCCTCCGCACGTGACTGTTCTACTCACAGCTGTCTCCAAAGCGTGGCCGTCACAGGACACTCGCGCAAAGGGGTCTGAGGTGCCGGAGATGTCCCGCGGGGCCAGGTCTCTGGGGGGAGAGGACAAGAGGAGGAGGATGGGGGTGGGTTTCTGGGTGGCTAGGGAATAGGGCAGAGGCATGGGATGGTCAGGGCTGACTGGGCCTCCCCAGGGTGGCCAGGTGGCATTGTAAGCCCTTTGGGGCAGGGACTGTTGCTGTTTTGTGTTTGGACAGCACCCGACACAATGGGGGCCTGGCCAGTGCCTGGGACAGCTTCAAGGCACTAACGCAACACAAACAACAGCCAGGACACAGGAGAAAATAAGGCCGGGAGGTTAAACCCTGAGGTGCTGCTTGGGAGCTTTACAGATAAAGTCCTGCCCCCTTCTCCCAGTCCTCAGTGCCACATGCTCGGCCCTGCTCCTGCAGCATGGAAAGTGGCACAGTAAGGGCCCTCTCCTCCCCACGCAGGACACCAGCGAGCAGGCGCACAGGCTGGCTTGGCACTGGGAGATCAAGCTGCTCCATCACCTCTCAGACAGCGGGTGGGCGCGGGGATGTACCCGAAAACTGCAGGGCTGCCCCACTCTGCGTCTCACGCACGCTCCTGCAGCGTGGAACGATGCAGTGGGATGGGGAGGAGCGGGGAAAATGAAAGGAGCTCTTGGAAAGCGCCTGTGGAGTTGGGGAAGCCCCAGACCAGCCTGGCAGGGGCTCAGCATTTGGGGACATCCCAAGTGGGTGATCCACCAGCTGGCGATCGAGGTGAGAGCAGAGAACATTCCCCCGGGGAAAGAAAAGGCCAGGAGAGCCAGAGCTGCCCTGCCTCCCCGGCAGAGCCCGCCCCGCCCCTGCCCCTGCCCAAGCCCTGGGGAGCCGTGTGAGAGTGACAGGGGAAGGGAAAGTGAGCATGGACCTTTAAGGGGAATACAGCCCACCCCTCAGAGCTCTCTTACTGCACCCCCCAAGTCTTCTTCCCTCTCACCCTGTCTTTCCACCCCCCTCCCACTCTCCCCTACTCCACCTGTCCCCCACAGGCTCACCAGGGCCCCTTAGCCAGCGCTTGCTGTTCCCATGGCTACACTCCAGTATTAGTAGCGACGTCCCCCCCCACGTGGGGGAGGGCACTGCCCCAGGGCTGGGGCGAGCCAAGGGACACGAGTTCCAGTCCCGACCACGTTCTCTCACCCCCTGCCGAGGTGCACTGCCCCCCGGAGAACCCTGCCTGGTGCTTTCATCATGAGCCAGCAGGGCCCCCAGCTAGCTCTCCGTGGGCCTCAGGCACGCCAGGCCACCGGAGCCAGGGAAGCATGGAGGTAGCAAATGCTCCCCCGGCTCCCTGGAGAACTGCTGTGGAACTCCCCTGCCCCACACAAAGGGGGAGGGACTGACCCACCCCCTCCCGCCTGCTCCTCTGCAGAAGAATGCTTGGAAGATGCGTTGGCTCACCCCATCTCCCCTCCCCGAGCACTCTCCATGGCCACATTGTTGCCTAGGAGCCTGCGCTGGTTGCTAGGATAGCAGGATGCCTTCTCTGCATCGTGCTGCTCTCTGCCAAGCCTCCTGGCTGGCTGGCTCTGGTACAGTGGGCTGGGCCCCTACACTCCCTTACCAATCACTCTGGCCTGTGCCCCCAAAGCAGGGGGATGGTAGCCAAAGCCCCATGACTGCACTCTCATGTTCCCATGGAGGGAATCCCTACCCTGTGCCTAACTCCATGTGTTGAGAGCCAGAACTCAGGAATCCTGGGGTCTATTCCTGGCTCTGCCACTGGTGACCTCAGACAAGTGACTTCACTGGTCAGTGCCTCAGTTTCCCCACCTGTAAAATAGGGATAACGATACTGACCTCCTTTGTAAAGCGCTTTGAGATCTAAGATTAGAAGCACTAGATGAGAGCTAGGTATTATAAACACTCTGGAAGGGAATCTTAGCACTACATGTAAGGGGTGTGGGGCTGGGAGCTGAGCTGTAATGAATCACTAGGCTGATACCAAAAAAGAGAGGGACCTGGAACTGAAGACTAAAGCTAACAAGTCACTTTAGCAGTAACTATGTTTGAAAGGGTCTGTGATGCTGCAGTTTAAGGATACTGGCCCTTTCCTGTGGGGACTCCTAGGTTCAGATCCTGTGGGAAAAGAAAAGGAGGACTTGTGACACCTTAGAGACTAACCAATTTATTTGAGCATAAGCTGTGAGCTACAGCTCACTTCATCCGATGAAGTGAGCTGTAGCTCACGAAAGCTTATGCTCAAATAAATTGGTTAGTCTCTAAGGTGCCACAAGTCCTCCTTTTCTTTTCGCGAATACAGACTAACACAGCTGCTACTCTGAAACCTGTGGGAAAATAGTGGAGCAAATCATCAAGCTGTCAATTTGCAAACACTTAGAAGGTAATAAGGTGATAAGTACCAGTCAGCAGGGATTTGTCAAGAACAAATGGTGTCAAATCAACCTAGTAGCTTTCTTTGGCAGCGTAACAAGCCTTGTGGATGGGGGGAAGTGGTAGATGTGCTAGCACCAGCAGGAGAGTGAATTTGTGTGGGGGGGTGGAGGGTGAGAAAACCTGGATTTGTGCTGGAAATGGCCCACCTGTTGATCATTTTAGATAAGCTATTACCAGCAGGACAGTGGGGTGGGAGGAGGTATTGTTTCATATTCTCTGTGTGTATATAAAGTCTGCTGCAGTTTCCACGGTAAACATCTGATGAAGTGAGCTGTAGCTCACGAAAGCTCATGCTCAAATAAATTGGTTAGTCTCTAAGGTGCCACAAGTACTCCTTTTCTTTTTGCGAATACAGACTAACACGGCTGTTCCTCTGAAAAGTGGTCTATCTTGACTCTAGTAAGGCCTTTGACACTGTTTTGCACGACCTTTTTGACAGTACACCCTGTATTTTTCCTAGAGATATGCTTATGATATGAATATGGCATAACTAAGATGTATTTTATGCAAGATGGGTCATGTGAGATATCATTGGAAAGGTTATGATGTACTAAATGTGATTGTCCTATTTGTATGCATGTATCATTTCTGTATCTGAAGTGAGGAATATTAACTCTGTATCAATTGCAAAAGTGTTTGTACCTGGGGAAGGCCCACCAGACAAAATGCAATCAGTCTAGCTGGTTAGTCAATAAACCATTAGGAAGGATAACAGGTCTTTGAAGACGCTAATTGCCCCACCTTCCTGAGAAACTTCCCGGGATGCTGCTCTGACACTGCAGGGTCATGTGCTCTGGTACTGGACACCATCTTGGACTGCTGCTATTTTTCTACTCGGAGGGGGTAGGGATCAAACTGGGAAACAAAGGATTCCCGCCATATGTTAATTCTATTTAAGGCTGGGGAGTGAGTTAATCAAGGTTTTTTTCACTCCATGCATCCGATGAAGTGGGTTCTAGCCCACAAAAGCTTCTGCCCAAATAAATCTGTTAGTCTTTAAGGTGCCACCGGACTCCTTGTTGTTTTTGTGGATACAGACTTACACGGCGACCCCCTGATACTTGACAACCAAGGTTGGTTCTTCACTGAATTCCCACCCAAGATGACTGCTGGAAACACCTACAACTGAACTGGGGAAGGAAGGACTGGACCCAGGCTAGAAGGCGTCTGGCCTGGGAAAGGAAGATCTGGAATTTTAAGCTGCAAGCAAGAGCAGTTTGTCGTCAAGAAATTCTGCAGCCTGCCTAAAACAACATTTCGGGTGAGAAATTCCTACTTGTAGCCAGTTTCTTTACTGTATGTTACTTTGTGTGTTTATTGTATTTGCTCATTAATTTGCTTTGATCTGTTTGCTATCCCTTATAATCACTTAAAATCTACCTTTGTGGTTAACACACTTGTTTTTTGTTTATTCTATAACTAGTCTGTAAAATTCATAACTGGGGGAGGGGTAAAAACTACATTGAGGGAGGGTGTGGATTTCATGAGCCGTAAAAATCTCTATGCAGCGCAAGACAAAATAATTTTGGGTTTACAGCCCAAAGGTGGTGAGCACCTGAGTGCTGGGCAATCCCCGAGCTAAGTCTTCCCACACAGAACTGATCTCAGTTTCTGTGTCTTTCTCCAGCTGGGCGTGTCCCTACCTGTGTGTGTGCTGGAGGAGGCTTGAGGGCCTGGCCCAGCAGGACAGGATGAGGGAGCCCAGGCTGGTGGCAAGGGCAGGCTCAGTGGGACCGCAATACATCAGGTGGCACCCCGGAAGGGGGGCAACCCATCACAACCTTCTCATAAACAAACTAGGGAAATACAACCTAGATGGAACTACTATAAGCTGTGCACACAAATGGTTGGAAAACCGTTCCCAAAAAGTAGTTATCGGTGGTTCACAGTCAAGCTAGAAGGGCATAATGAGTGGGGTCCTGCAGAGATCAGTTCTGGGTCTGGTTCTGGTTCTGTTCAATATCTTCGTCAATGATTTAGATAATAGAGAGAGAGTACATAGACAGTGCACTTAAAAAGTTTTGGATGATACCAAGCTGGGAGGGGTTGCAAGTGCTTTGGAGGATAAGATTAAAATTCAAAATGAGCTGCACAAATCGGAGAAATGGTCTGAAGTAAACAGGAGGAAATGCAATAAGGACAAATGCAAAGTACTCCAGTTAGGAAGGAACAATCAGTTGCACAAATACAAAATGGGAAATGACTGCCTAGGAAGGAGTACTGCGGAAAGGGATCTGGGGGTCAGAGTGGATCACAAGCTAAATAGGAGTCAACAGTGTTAACACTGTTGCAAAAAAAGCAAACATCATTCTGGGATGTATCAGCAGGAGTGTTGTAAGCAAGACATCAGAAGTAATTCTTCCACTGCACTTTGCGCTGATAAATCTTCAGCTGGAGTATTGTGTCCAGTTCTGGGTGCCACATTTCAGGAAGAATGTGGACAAATTGGAGAGAGTCCAGAGAAGAGCAACAAAAATGATAAAGGTCTAGAAAACATGACCTCTGAGGGAAGATTGAAAAAATTGGGTTTGTTTAGTCTGCAGAAGAAAAGACCGAGGGGGGGGACATGATAACAGTTTTCATGGACATAAAAGATTGTTACAAGGAGGAGGGTGAAAACGCGT